TCCTACAATGGATTAAATCTTTTTTAGTGGGCAGAAAGCAACGCGTTACAATTAACAATACCAGCTCTGCATGGGTTGATGTTCTCAGTGGTGTTCCTCAAGGTTCTGTTCTCGGCCCGCTCCTCTTCATTCTCTACACAAATGATCTCGCAAAACTCACTGAAACTTCTGAGATATTTGCCGATGATACTAAACTTTTTTCTAAAACCTTATCGCAATCTAATTTTGTTGATCTGCAGGATCGTCTACGCTTGGTATACGAGTGGTCAAACACTTGGTTACTTAAGCTAAACACTTCAAAATGCTGCGTCATTCATTACGGTCGAAACAACCCCCATTACAATTACTTTCTTCAAAATAACTAAGGAATCAACCAATCTCTAAGAAGCTCTACTAAAGAACGTGATTTAGGAGTCATTTTTACATCTAACCTCAAGTGGAGCGCTCATATTCAAACAGTTGTCTCTAAGTCCTTACAAATTCTCGGTATGCTGAAAAAGACATTCACTTTCATTGATGAAAAAATGGCTCTCAAATTATATAAAGTATTTATAAGACCACATCTTGAATATGGAGTGTCCATTTGGGCTCCTTTTTTAAAAGCTGATATGGCTTTGGTTGAATCTGTTCAACGCAAAGTTACAAAATGGGTTTACAGCTTGAGGCATCATTAATACTGCGAAAGGCTAAAAAGATTAAACCTACCATCTCTTGAGTTTCGACGCCTTCGATGCGATTTAATCCAAATTTTTAAATAATTACATCGTTTTGATATAGTTAATGATAAATATCTACTAAAATATATTAACTCCGTGTCTCGTGGTCACCATTCTAAAATAAGGCGTGAGTATGTTCTAAACTGTCTTCCAAGATATAATCATTTGTATAATAGATCAGCAAAATACTGGAACAATCTACCAGAGCAAATAACTTTGTACTCCACTGTACTTTCTTTCAAAAATAGACTAGACTCCTGGATTTTTTTTTCTGGAATATAGTTTATTATTATAGCAATTCTGTAGTCTGAAAAAAAAATTAATTTCGAAAATAAGATTTTATTTTTTTAAAAAGTGTTCACTTTTTAGAAAATTGTCCCTAAAAGCGGACAGTTCCAAGTTATATAAAAAATATATAGATAAATTGATAAAATCATTATTTTTATTTTTATTTTTAAAATATACACATAATAATAATACAAGCAGAAAATACAAGATAAAAACATATGCAAGCTTGAGCTTGAAATAAAAATAAAAAATTTACAAATTAGGTTCTGCAACCTGTCATGCAAAAGAATTCTTCGCCTTTTATTATCTTTTTGGGAGACAAGGTTCACAAAGCTACAAACTGCAAATTAATTTTTCACAAGTTTTCCATAAAACTTGCATTTCTGGCTTTTCATTTTTGAAAAACTTTTGGCACGTTTTGCACTTTTTGTACTTTTTTTTTGATTTCTTGGCAGGAGTTTCTACTTCTGCTGCTGCAAAATCAACAAATGTTTTTTTTAATAGCTTCGTGTCTTCTTCTTCTCTTAACTTGTTTAACCATGCTTCTTCTGTAAAAGGTTGACCAGCCACTGTTCTAACATTTTTGGCTTTTTTTGCAGGATATTTGTAAGCGTTTTGGAATTGAAATTGCTTTAAGAGAGCTCATTTAAGACTGATTTTTACACGAGTCACCAATTCTTCTTGAGAAGTTAAATTTAAAGTTGAAATATAAGTTTGAGTTGCAGGCAGAATTAAGTTGATTTTGGTATGCGGTAGAATTGAGCTGCGCCTCTTAAGCTTAACTCGCCATTTTCAATCTTATTCAATGCGTTTTTTATTGTCTCCTCAGTGTAAGGCTTCTGGTTTGTTGTTTTTTTGCCATTTTTAAGTTTAATAAATTCAATTCAGTTACAGATTTTTGAAATTGAAGAAACGAAGCACTTTTGTGGTTACTTTGTGTACTTTTGCACTTTTACTTCAACAGTATATGTACAAAAGGACAAAATTAATTAACACAAAAGTATAAAAACTTAAAAAAACCAAATGAAAAAAATTCAGTCAGAGTGGAAAAATAATAAAGTAAATTAACTTTAACATAATAATATTTTTATATACATATTTTTAGTGGTTTTTTTGATAAGCGTCTGCTTTTACGCACTGTCCGGTTTGTGGTACTTTTCATCTAGTAGTATTGTTTCAGCAAAAAGTTTACAATTTATTTTTAGTAAAAAGTTTAAATTTGATGAGTTTTGTTAATAACGAATCATTATATTCCAAAAATTAGTTCTAATTATCAGGTTGGTATTTTTTTACTTTAATGTTTTTTTTTTGAGCTAATATAAAGTGCTCATATTACCAAGTGGTCTGGAAAATATGAGCACTTTTGAAACTTTTTTAAAGTATCTGTATTTTTAAGAAAAAATTTCGTATGCCCAAATATCTAAGTGGATCATGAGTAATTATATCTAAAAATTGTTTATTCGCAAAATTTTTAAATCCAGCATAATTATTTTATAAAATATTCAAATTTTTCTTTAGGGTGCTCATGTTACCCTATTTTACCATATATAAAAAGTTTTTAAAAGGTTTAAATTTTACTTTAATTAAAGATTTAAAAATTTACTCTGAATATAAATCTAAATTAACAATAAAGTAATTTAAAATTGACCAAAACTAAAAAAAAAACAAATTAAAGTGCCCAATTAAATTTAAGTGTGCCCATTAATCAAAAAAATTGTTTTTAACTAGAACGTCTTTTTTTGTATGACGTAATTAACTTTGTTTATTTTGTATACAGAAATCATATTCTAATTTATTTAAGAACTATTTATTTTTTTTTTATTAAGTTTTTTTTTTTTTGCAATTACGCAAATTTATTTTAAAAATTTACTTTAAAACGTTTTGCATACAGAAACTAATGCGATGTTGTTTGATTGTAACGGTACTAAGTATTGGTTATCATTGTTATTGGATTAAAATGAGTAAGCAAGAATTAAATTGATAAATTTTAGATGTTTCTTTTTAAAATCATTGTCGGAAGTTGACATTTTAAAATTGATCCTCATTTCAATTTATTTTGGGGCAGTTATGAACAGACTTAATCTTTGAAAAAAGAAGCTGGAAGTAGAAAAAAGAAAAGATTTAAAGATAAATATAAAGGAAAATCTATTGTTTGCTCCATAAAAGCAAGCATCAATCCACAGAGGTCTTGCAAGAAAATTTAAATGCAGCCATACTTTAGTAAAGTATTTAGATTTTAAGAATATAAAGCATACAAAAAAAACAAAAAAACTCTTAAGCGATCCTTTGATGGAAAAATCAAAGCCATTTCTCGACTTAAATGGAAATTAATAATTTTCATTAATCTGCTGTCCAATAAAAAGTGATTCCCACCCCACCTCACTACGCCAATGGATTTAAGTGTTTTTTGCCTTTCAACAACTTTCCAGTAGTTTGACATAATTAGAAACAATTAAAAACGAATTAATGACTGTCATTTCCATACTTAATTGGCAGTTGTTATTTTTTGGACTAATCTTTTGAACGCTAAAAATATTTTGATGAAAACTGAAACCTGTTTAAAAATTTTGATCTAATTTGTAGCAGCATTTTTATAACAAAAGTTTGCTTTGATGTAAAAATATGTCGACAAGGAAAGTAGATAAATATTTTTAAACATATATAGAACAAAGTTAAACCTCCCAGTGGACACCGGACCAAAAAAAGACGTCTTTTGAACGTTCAAAAGACGTCCAAAACGTGTATAAGACGGTTAAAAGACGTCTTTTTTGCGTTAGTGCCCACTGGGCCCTGACTAATTTCAACAAACTATACTATTTAAAACCAAATAGGTAATAATAAAGCATAAGATTGTCATTAATTGCATTTTTTAAAATGAGTTTCTTAAAATCAGTTTGTTTCAAAATGGGGAAAACTAGAGAAATGTTTTTGGTTTCTTTTATATTGATACAAACTCTAATTATTGGTTCTATCAAAGTCAAAATTTTAAAGCTCTAGCTTTATAACTTAATTTTTTTAAATAATATTACAGACCCGTTTAATGTTCCAAGGTCTGTTTGCTACAGACCTAAGAATATTTTTAAAAATATTTTTTATTCAAAACATTTTTAAATCCAGTTATAATTTACTATTTAGAACACATTAATGAGGTGGCAGCAGATATTTATCAAAAATTTTGTTTTAAGAATAACCTAATAGAGATGCATAATCAAAAAAAAATAAAATAAAAAGCAAAACCGCAAAGTTCTATTTAAATTTCTATAAATTATAATTCAAAAATGTGTTTAACAAAAGCTAACATTTAAGTATACAAATAAATTATAATATAAAATTGATAATTATAGCTCAAGTCATAATTATTTTGATATTGGTTTTTTCCTTGGCAAAGCAGAGTTTGTCAGTGGTATCAACTTTTCAAACTTTCTGCATTCTTCCATGATAATTTCCGTAACAAAAGTTGTTAAAAAAGTTAAAAAAGTAACAACCCAGCGGGCACGGCAACGTCCATATGACGTCGAAAGGACGTATTTTTAGGACGTCCGGAACTGGTTCTAAATGGCAACGCCAGATGACGTCTTTTTAAGACGTAATTAGGACGTCTTTTTAGAACGGAATAAAGACGTGTTTTTAGACGTCTAAAATACGTGAATTTAGGACGTTCAGAACTAGAAACGCCAAATGACGTCTTTAAATAACCTAATTTAGACGTTCTCATTTCGACGTCTAAAATACGTGTTTTTACATGGCTTTACTTAAACGTGAGGTTCAAATTTATGTTTTCACAGAACTTCTTGAGAATAAGAAAAAAATAATAAATCGTTTAAATTTTTTTAATAATCTAATTGTGCTGAATTTTATAAATTACAATTTTGTAAACTTCTTTTTCCACTTGTTAATTTCCAAGAATCGAATGTTCGAACAGTTGACGTCATTCACCTTCTTTTCGATCAGATGCACTCTTTAAAATATTGCCATCAGCATTTTAAAGTTTTTTTGTTGTTGTAGGAATCAGGAAAGTAGTCTTAACCCTAAAAAAATATTGTCAAGATAAGTATGTAAAAATAAAGGGGAAATAAACAGCACACACACACACACACACGCACGCACACATATAATGATTAATTTATAAACATAACATCAAACATCAAAAAATACGAATTTCTCAACACTCAATTGATTACTTTAAAGAAATTTTTGACTGGATTGTTGTGACCAGCTTATATATTTATGTATATCAAGTATTTAATACAATTGTGGTATTAAAAATGCTCTTTTTATAGTAAAATTATACTTACTTTGAAAGCATGCCCTTCTTAAATGCACTGCATTATGAGCCACCAACATTTAATAACTTCTATTTCTAAATTCAAAAGATAACACTAGTGTAATTGATATGGGACAATTTAGTGTAAGTTTTATTGGGCATAGAAGCAATACATAAGTGTTTTAATCAATTCACAAATTTTGTGTAAATTATGTTTATTTGTTAAGTGAGCATTATGTATATAATTACAGATCAAAAGTTTTTATGTAATTTATGATAGTAATTTACCCTTAAAAAGAAAACTAAACATTTAACCATAATAAAAAATTAACTACTTTTTGCAACATTTGTATCGACAAATGATTAATCACCTTCAAGAAACTTGGCGATAGAATCACACTAGTAAAGATCAAAACTATTCTCAACTTTAAACCTTTTTTATATTTTATTATTTTTAAGATAAGTAAGTAAATGAATGAAAGACTATATATTAGTTAATTATTAAAAAACAATATGCTTTTAGAGTTTTGAAGTTACTGGAAGAGAAAAGATAGAATTCGTAGAACAAGATAATGATTGACAGATGACTTAAAAGATTGCAAATTAAATAAATCAGGGAAGCAAGATGAAGGAAGCGAATTCCAAAGAACTGATATTCAAAGAAAAAACTAGAGGAATAAGAATTTTTGGAGCACTTAGGAACAGTCACAGAAAAAGGATGAGACTTAATTGAATTGAGTGACACGAGAATGAATTTTAGTAGATGGAACAAGGGACGCTAGCTCTTTAGAGTAGTGCCCATTATAGTATTTGTAGAAAAGAGAAAGAGAAGCAACATCATGACGATGTGACAGTGGTTGGAGATTGGCTGCAAGAGCAGATTCAACTATGTTTACAATGCGTTTTTGCACCTTATCTAAAAAAGAAAGGGCATCATTAGAAGATCCGCCCCAGATATGGCAACAGTATACCATACAGGGACGGATTTGAGATTTATAGAGATAGAGAAGAGAATCTGGAGTAAGGAAGTGTCGAGCTCGATAAAGAGATGCAGCCTTAGCAGATGCTAAATTTGCAATGGATTTGATATACCATTTAAAAGAAAAATTAAAAGTAAAAGTTAATCCTAGAAGATGAAGGGTAGATGACTCATCTTGTACATTATCATTCATAAATATAGGAAGATCTAAACTATTGTGATAACGATTGGCCAGAAAAAATTGAGTTTTATCTGAAATAAAGTTCACCAGCCATTGTGAGCCCCATGCTGTAGCAGAGGGGCTCACAATGGCTACCCCCTCCAAGCAATCAAAGAGTGTAGGCTTCTTATCATGACAAGAATAAATGGTAGTGTCGTCAGCGAACAATGCCACCTTAGATGTGAGAATATCTGGAAGATCGTTAATGTATATTAAAAAGAGTATAGGGCCAAGGATTAAACCTTGAGGAACCCCTGAAGTTACAGGATATGAAGAAAAGTGTTGAAGTTACAGGATATGAAGAAGAGTGTTGAAGTTACAGGATATGAAGAAGAGTGTATATATATATATATATATATATATATATATATATATATATATATATATATATATATATATATATATATATATATATATATATATATATATATATATATATAACTAACTTAACTACATCTTTCGAAAGGGAATTCTTAAATGTTCTTTTTTTCTTGCTGAATTGACTAGGTACCTATTTTGAGTATTGCGGAGTATTTAAAAATTAATTTATAAAGAAAGAAGGTCTCGATAGTTAAAATAACTTCCAAGATAGTAATTACAAGAAAAAATATTACTTACATTAATCTTTGTAAAACTTTAAAATTTATCATTGACTTCATATATTTTCTTTAACTTTTTTTTGGGAAAAGCAAAATTTTGAATCACAGACTTTCAAATTTTGGAGGAGCTGAATGAATTAAAAAAGTTGTTACTAATAAAAATTCATTAGGCATATTACATAAAATAAACTATATTACCATTACATAAAATGAACTATAGCCAAAACCATTGTTTTATTTTTTAAAAACGAAGGCAAAAATAAAAATGAACTTTAGGGTTAAATACATTTATTCAAATAAAATTTCTTTGATTTAAAACAAAATTAAATACAAAAACTACAAACACATCAATTCTAGATTCCTAAATGCATATTTAAATAAATGCAATATGAGTTTTTGAAATACAAAACAAAAATGTAACATAATATTACCAAATACAAACATGTATTTGACCAAAACATATATATCAACAGACACTTGATGTAGTTGACGCTCCTAAAAATAAAATCTTAATTAACAAGTAAATAAAATTTATGGTAAAATAAAAAATATATACAATTTAAAGTTAAACTTTTCTGTTTAACTTTAAATTGTATCTAATTGATGTTTGACACTATCTATTTCTAAATTTTAACAAATACTACAAATTCTACTAATTTTAACTAATAAAAAATAATTACTAATAATTCTAAATTTTAACAAATTCTACTAATTCTAAATTTTAACAAAACTCATTTTCATTTTGTTTATTATTATTATTATTTTATTTATTTAACACCCAATTTACAAGGTAAAAAGAAAAAAATAAGAAAGTTATTTCGGATGACTTTGCTTAAAAACGTTTTCTTCCAGAATTTGCTTGAAAACTCCTCTTTGCTCTTTTGCATTCCAGCACTCTATTGCATACTTCAAGTTTCGTTCAACTTCGGAAGGAATTTTACTTTTAGAAAGTGGTATTTTTACCTTCTTTTTATTTTGAATTAGGTTTTGAAAATTTAATATCTGAAGATGGCATAGTTCCTGAATATCACTAACAAACGAATGTTGAAATAACGGGTGTTGCAGTTGTGAAAAGATAATGTCTGCAGTTGTTTTGTTATTAAGAAGTCGAAGGAACAAGTTTAACTTATTTTGTTGAACACTTTTTGAAATTTCCTGGATTTTAAATAACGAATTCATATAGTTTTTACTATGTTTTGAAACATTTAAAAACGATTTTAGCGCACTCCTTCCAATTATATCTAGCTTTTTCATCAGACCAGGATTATTTTCACATAGCTCCATACCATAAGTTAAGGTGGGGACTGCCAATGATTTATATATATAGGAAATAGAACTGGGGTGAGCAAACCGGATTCCAGATTGAATAAGAGTTTGAACAACAGCTCTAAAGTTTGATATTTTTTCATCAACATTTGAATAACCGAGTGAAGCAAAAACTGAATGTTTAGTATCCCATGTGAATCCCAGATGTCTAAGTTTATTCTGAAGATTTTTTTTATTACCAGAAATTGTTATTGTATTAGTTTGTATTTGGGCTTTACCTGAGATCAAGAACTCAGTCTTTTCGGCATTCAGTTTAATACAATTTAGATTACTGTAAATATTGCATGTTTTTATAAGCTTTTTGAGACCAGATAAGGTAGAGCTTAAAAGTATTATATCATCCGCATAGGCTACCACACCAGTAAAGTTACCGTTTATAGATGTGCCAACAATACCCTGATTTTTAATAGTTTCGAGAAGACTTTCAGTGTAAATATTATAGAGGTGAGGCGAAAGAATTGATCCTTGTCTTACTCCTTGGTTTAGAGGAAAAGAGTTTGATTTACAACCTTGATATGAGACTGTTGCGCTACTATTGTTATACAACGAGGAGATAGTGTTAACTATACATAGTGGTAATTTTTTATCGAAATATAATTTTTCAAATAGGATATTCCAGTTACAGCTATCGAAAGCTTTTTCTGCATCTAAAGAACATAGATACACAGGGGAATGGTTGCTGTTGTAATGTTTAATTGTTTCGCTTATTAGAAATTCAGCATGTAGCGTTGAAGAGTTAGCATTGAATCCAAATTGTAGGGAGTGAGTATCTCTAATATCCGGACATATAATTAAGATCAGGTATTCTAGAACCTTTGTAAAAATTGGTATAATACTAATACCACGATAGTTGCTTGGGCTATCTAAAGACTTTTTGTACGATTTAACAAGGGGTACAATAGTTGACGTCGACATTGATATTGGAGTCGATCCATAATTAATAGAGTAATTAAAAAATTTGATGAGCCATTTTGTTAAAGTATCGCACTTTGCGTATTTCAAATGTTCTGCTGAGATACCGAAAGAGTCAGGAGATTTTTTTAATTTTAAATTTGAAATAGCCCCAATTATATTTTCTTCAGTTATTGTTACATCATCATGTTTTGTACACGGGGGAATTCTCTGTTTTTCTTTACGATGAGTTATTTTTGGAGTATTCAGTACTCTTTCGAAGTGGTTTGCGAATTCTGAAGTAATAGATTCTTTGTCTTTTTTATTATTTATGGTAAATAATCTAGAATTTATGTCTTTGTTTAAACATCTAAAAGCATTCCAAAAGTTTTTTGGTTTAGTATTTTTTAACTTTTCAATTTTAATATATTGTGCGCAAATTTTATTATTTTGAGCCGACTTGACGGCTTTACGAAAGTTTTTACGAGCCATTTGGTAACGGTTAAATGATACCGAGTTTAACTCTTTAGAAAAACCAGAATCTCTCCATTTTTTAAAATGAATTGAAAGAATAGTTTTAGACCGACTTAATTCAGGTGTCCACCAAGATTTTGAATACAAACATTGCTTTTTATTTTTTAAAGTCTCCTTAAAAGCTATTTGAGCGCTGTCAGTAATTTTTTTATAGATTTGGAGAAGGTCGTATTCATAATCGTTAGTAAAATTAAGATTGTTAAAGCGATTGGTTAAATGAACATTGTAAGAATTTATAAAGTTAGAATCGTTCCAAGCGTAGCTAGGTATATTAGTATCTTCTGCTAGTTCAATGGTATTGCATTCGGTGTACTTAACTTCAACTGATATTGATAGTGGTAGGTGGTCGCTCAAATTATTTGAGCATTCAGGATGAACAATGCATTTAAGATTTATAAAACTTGTATATTTTGATACGGCGAAGTGATCAATATATGACGAATTCGGTAGTGTCTGGTGTCGATATGTATAATTAGGGCCAGAACCTTTAGTTACATCAACTAGTTCTAATTGATTTGTTTTTAAAAATTCCGATAAGTGCACAGAATAACTATTTCTTTTAGAATTTGATCTTTCAAATAAATCATACATTTGGTGAGGAAAGGATTGGAAGTCACCTGCTAATATTATATTGCCGTTACCTTCGTAACTATCAATTAGACCTTTAACAGTATCTAGTTGACCTTTATATTCTTCCAGAGACGAGAGGTTATTCCGCGATGAGGAGAGGTATAACCCAATAACTATAATATTAAGATTGTTTTTTTCGAAATTTATTGCTAAAATATGGTCGTCCTCGTAAATTACCCTTATATTTTGGAATTTATTTTTTCGTACAAAAAACGCATTTCCGCCAAACGGTCGGCCTTTTTCATGTTTATTAGACTGATGGAAATAAATGGAGTGTGTGTTATTAGATATATCCCTTATTACGGAGTATTCAAGTTTAGATATCCAATGTTCACATAAGAAAGTTATATCATAGGATTGTATAAGTGACTTTGTAAAATCAATGTTTGACTTAAGTCCCTGACAGTTGAAAGTACATATATCAAAAGTTGTTGAAGATTTGTTTTCTTCTCTTATGGTGCTTGGATCCATTTTCAATTAATATTTGTTATTTTGGACATCTATTTTGTATTTTTAGCAAAAACAAAATCAGGGTTTACATTATTAAAAAAGACGCCTAAAGTATGGATTTTAAGAAGACATTTTTCTAGTACTTTAAGATATTTGGTCACGAAAGACAATTTTTTGAAAGAAAAAATAGGCAAAATTAAGGAGAAAATAACTACATTGAAAACAGAATCTTATTTTTTTTTTAATAAATTTTAAATAAAAACAGAAAAATTATTATAAACTAACATATTACTTTTATATATATATATATATATATATATATATATATATATATATATATATATATATATATATATATATATATATATATATATATATATATATATATATAGTGGCGGGATAGCTCAGATGGTTAGAGCGTCAAAGGAAAAGTTAAAAACCCGGACTGTTGAACAATACGGGTTCAAATCCTGCCACCGCCAACTCAGTGCTTGAGTAGTACTTCGGTACGCAAAAATGTTGGTCAATAACGGACGCTACTTTGGATTAGTCTTAATGACTATTTGTGGCTGTTCCTATGCTAAGCCAACAATATCTTCGGATATAAGAACATTGTATAGAAAAATATAGCATGAAAACTCAAATAAATAAGAAAAAAAAAAAAAAAAAATATATATATATATATATATATATATATATATATATATATATATATATATATATATATATATATACAACCCTCGGAATTAGGGTTGGCATGCAGCAATGCTAACCTGAAAGTGAGGTCGACAAACAATGCTGACCTTGTTTCTATGTTTAATTGTGAATCAATTTTTTTTGCTTTTTTGATGTCGACAAATTATTGCCTTTTATTCTAATTCCAAGGGTAGTATATATATATATATATATATATATATATATATATATATATATATATATATATATATATATATATATATATATATATATATATATATATATATATATATATATATATATATATATATATATATATATATATATATATATATATATATATATATATATATATATATATATATATATATATACAGACTTGGTCGGGAAGCGGGAGTGATCGCTCTCGATTGCTGACCACGTAAACAATATTTAGTTGCGAAAAGCTGGCCAGATTTTCTAGCCGTTTTGAGAACATTTTAAAAAGCAAAAAAAAAAAAAGCGACAAAGAATAATTGGACCGATGAGAGACAGTTACAAAAAAAAAAAAA